CCCAGGAGTTGGAGGTTGCTGTGAGCTGTGATGCCACGGCACTCTACTCAGGGGGACAGCTTGAGGCTCTGTCTCCAAAAAAAAAAAAAAAAAAAACCTGATCCCCAGAACCTAGCACTGAGCCTGGCACGTGTTTAGAGACAGTGCTAAGAGGGTACAAGGCATTCAATAACTACTCCTTCCAAGAGTAAGTCGTGCTCCCTGGGTGGGGTTCTAGAACTCCTGGGGGGTGGCTCCAGGGCCCACTAACGGGAGGCTGCCCTTGCCTTGCAGTCATCAAGAGCCCCCCTGGCTGGGAGGTGGGTGTCTATGCTGCAGGGGCCTTGGCGCTGCTGGGAATTGCGGCTGTGAGCCTATGGAAGCTTTGGACTTCAGGGAGCTTCCCCAGCCCTTCCCCATTCCCGAATTACGACTACAGATACCTTCAGCAGAAGTACGGCGGCGAGACCTATGCAGAGGCCAAGCAGAAGGTGAGGCTCCTGCTCCCACAGGTGCACACGGAGATATGTCCCCATGAACCCCCACCCCATCCATTCTCAGGAGCAGCCTCCAGTCCCTCCCCTTCCTGGTAATGTCCTCCTCTGAATGGGGAACTAGACCCCATTTTCCTATTTTAATCTTCAACTCCTAGTCCAGTGCTAGGAAGTCAGTAAATACTTTTTGAATGAATAAATATTTCCAATTTTTAAAACCATCCCATGAAAAGTACAGAAAAATATAAATACTGCTGGGTGTGGTGTCACATACCTGTAATCCTAGCACTTTAGGAGGCCAAGACAGGAGGATTACTTGAGCCCAGCATTTTGAGACCAACCTGAGCAGTATACTGTGACCCCTGTCTCTGAAAAAAAATAGAGAAATTAACCAGGCTTAGAGGCATACACTTGTAGTCCCAGGTGGCTGAGGCAGGAAAATCTCTTGAGTCCAAGAGTTTGAAGTTTCAGTGAGCTATGATGCACTCCAGCCTGGGGATTGGAGTGAGACTGTCTCAAAAAAGGAAAAAAGAAAAAAAGGAAAAAGGAAACAAAAAAGTGTGTGTGTAATATGAAGAAAAACATCTCCTGAGAGGCTCCCACCCAGAGACAAGCAACTGTTAACGGTTTTTATTTTTATTTTAATTTTTTTCAGACAGAGTCTCACTCTGTCACCTGTGGTAGAGTGCTGTGGCATCATAGCTCATAGCAACCTCAAACTGTTGAGCACAAGTGATCCTCTTGCCTCAGCCTCCCAAATCTCTGGGACTACAGGTTTCCTGCCACCATGCTTGGCTAGTTTTTGTATTTTTAGTAGAGATGGGGTCTTTCCCCTCCTCAGGCTGGTCTCAAACTCCCAAGCTCAGACAATCCACCCACCCCAGCCTCCCAGAGTGCTGGGATTACAGACATGGGCCACTGAGCCCGGCCTCTTAACTGTTTTTTAAACTATTAACATTTGATATACTTCTTTCCAATATTCTTAATTTACCTGCCCCCATGTTTTTCCATGCATAGTTTTTACACATTGGGTGTCATAGCTACATGGAATTTTATATCCTACTCTTTTCATCTCATTTAAAGCTCAAAAAGTCTTTTCCCATGTGAGCATCATTTTAATGGCTGCATGAGATTCCTTTTTGTGCATGTGCTCTAGTTTACTAAGTGCTGCTATAAATAATGCAGGGGATGTTTTGTATATAAAACTTTGTCTTCATTTGAGATATTGTACTTTGGATGGACGCCCAGAGATGGAATTACTATATCAGGGATACAGTTTTAGGGCCCTCACTATACATTGGTAAAGGTTTCACCACTTGGCAGAGAATTTTTCAAATGTCATGCAGAGTTCCAGAGAGCACAGCCGGAATCAGAATCCCTCACTCATTGGGTGTGTTCAGGGGGACTATCTGAAACTCTCCTGGGGGGAGTATAGTATAAACTGGAGCAAGTTTTCCAAAGAGCATTTTAGCAACATATATCAAAAGCCTTCAGAAGGACTATGTCCTCTGAGCTAGGATTTTTTTTTTTTTTAGAGACAGAGTCTCACTTTGTTGCCCTTGGTAGAGTACTGTGGCATCACAGCTCACAGCAACTTCTAGTTCTTGGGCTTAGATAATTCCCTTGCCTCAGCCTCCCGAGTAGCTGGGACTACAGGTGCCTGCCACAATGCCTGGCTATTTTTTTGTTGCAGTTTGGCTGGGGCTGGGTTGGAACCACTCTCAGTATATGGGGCCGGCGCCCTACTCACTGAGCCACAGGCGCTGCCCAAAAGCCGTGATTTTAAAAATAATTTTTTAGAGATGGGTCTTGATATATTGTCCAGGCTGGTCTTGAACTCCTTGGCTTAAGCAATCCTCCCACCTCAGCCTCCTGAGTAGCTGGGATACACACCACCATGTTCAATTGCTGAGCCAGAATTTTAAAACTATTAAATGCTGCATTATTTGTAATTCTAAAAAATTACAAACAATATAAATGTCCAAAAAGAGGAAAATAGTAAAATAGATTATGGTTACCCACTCAATGAAAGTTGGGGAGCCATTAAAAAGTATGGTAATGCCCAAGTGCAGTGATTCACACCTGTCATCCTAGCACTTTGGGAGGCTGAGGCAGGAGGATCATTTGAGGCAAGGAGTTTGAGACCAGCGTGGGCAACATAGCAAGACCCTATCTCTTAAAAAAAATGGATGAGGGCTTGGCACAGTGGCTCACGCCTGTAATCCTAGCATTCTGGGAGGCTGAGGCAGGTGGATTGCTCGAGCTCACAAGTTTGAGACCAGCCTGAGCAAGAGTGAGACCCTGTCTCTACTAAAAATAGAAAAACTGAGGCAAGAGGATCTCTTGAATTGGAGATTGCTGTAAGCTATGATGTCACTACACTCTACCCAGCGTGACAGCTTGAGACTCTGTCTCAAAAAAATAAAATGGGCTTGGCGCCTGTAGCACAGTGGTTATAGCACTGGCCATGTACACCAAGTTTGGCATGTTTGAACTCTGCCCAGCCAGCTAAACAATGACAATTGCAACAGTAACAACAACAACAACAACAAAAAAAATAGCCAGGCATTGTGGCAGGTGCCTGTACTCCCGGCTACTTGGGAGGCTGAAGTAAGAGAATCGCTTAAGCCCATGAGTTTGAGGTTGCTGTGAGCTGTGATGCCACAGCATTCTACCAAAGATGACACAGTGAGACTCTGTCTCAAAAAAAAGAAAAATCTAAAAAAAAACTTAACGGGTGAGGTAGTACATACATCTAGTCCCAGCTACTTAGGAGGCTGAGGCAGAAAGATCACTTGAAACCAGGAATTTGAAATTATGGTGAGCTATGATTGGGCCTCTGCACTCGTGCCTGGGCAACAGAGTGAGCCTGGTCACTAAAAAAACAAAGCAAAAGGGACCAGGCTCCTCACACTCTGAGAGGCCGAGGCAGGTGGATGGCTTGAGCTCAAAAGTTTGAGACCAACCTGCACAAGAGCAAGACTTTGTCTCTAAAAAATAGCCAGGCTAGTGAAAAATAAAATAAAACATGGGCAGCACCTGTGGCTCAAAGGAGTAGGGCACCGGCCCCATATGCCAGAGGTGGCAAGTTTAAACCCAGCCCTGGCCAAAAACTGCAAAAAAAAAAAAAAGAAAAAAAAGAAAAATAAAATAAAACAAAACGAATTTTGGTAATAGGCTTGGCGCCCATAGCACAGTAGTTACAGTGCCAGCCACATGCACTGAGGCTGGCAGGTTCAAGCCTGGCCCAGGCCAGCTAAACAACAATGACAACTGCAACAAGAAAATAGCAGGGTGTTGTGGTGGGCACCTATAGTCCCAGCTACTTTGGAGGCTAAGGCAAGAGAATCGCTTAAGTCCAAGAGTTTGAGATTGCTGTGAGCTATGACACCCCAGCACTCTACTGAGGGTGGCATAATGAGACTCTGTCTCAAAAAAAAATTGGTAATTAAGGCTACGTGGAGCTAAAAATTATAATAATGAAGATGTGGACACTGCATAGGGTATAAAGGATTTTCTTTCTTTTTCTTTCTTTCTTTCTTTTTTTTTTTTTTCTGAGACAGTTTCTCACTCCAGCACCCAGGCTACAGTATTTGGTATCAGCCTTGCTCACTGTAGCCTCAAACTCCTTTGTTGAGGCAATCCTCCCACCTCAGCCTCCCAAGTAGCTGGCACTACAGGTACCTGCCACAATTCTCAGGTAATTTTTTTTTTTGAGACAGAGTCTCACTTTATTGCCTTCTATAGAGTGCTATGGTGTCACATCTCACAGCAACCTCAAACTCTTGGGCACAAGAGATCCTCTTACCTCAGCCTCCCAAGGAGCTGGAATTATAGGCACCCACCACAATGCCTATTTTTTTAGAGATGAGGTCTTGCTCTTGTTCAGGCTGGTCTCGAACTCACGAGCTCAGGCAATCCACCTGCCTTGGCCTCCCAGAGTACTAGGATTACAGGCATGAGCCACCTCACTCAGCCTAATTTTTTTTTTATTTTAATAGAAATGGGATCTCACTATTGCTCAGACTGATCTTGAACTCCTGAGCACAAGCGATTCTCCCACCTCAATCTCCCAGAGTGCTAAGATTATAAATCCCAACGTTAATTTATGGAAAAGAAAAATTTGAGTATCTAGGTAGCTATGATAGCTTCACACTATGAAAGCTTTCTGCATCGTAAGCTTCCCTGGAGGCTGCTAGATCATCTAGTGGGTTGCTGCATCCTGGGATTCTTCCCCACTCCCCTAAATTGGACACTCAGATTGCTAACTAGTTTTTTTCTCATCACTGCAATTGACATTGATATTCTGTTCTTCCAAATAATCACTTTGAGAAGAAAAAGCTTTCTTTTCTTTTCTTTTTTTTTTTTT